TACTTCATCTTTCTCTTTTTTCAAGCTGCTTTTAATTCTATCAGCTTTAACCTTAATTCTGCTTTTGTGTTTCTTAACTATTGAGGATTATTCAGCCCTTTGAACTGATTTCTGACATGCTCTGTGTGAGGTACAGTGGTGTCTGGAGAGATTGAGATGAAAGATCTCTTAAACTCTTTTTCTAGCTGGGCTGTAACACACAGAATTTCATGGGTATCTGGGAAATCAGTGATAAAGCTCAGAATTCTCATGCCCTAATGTCCAAGCTGGAAATAAGAGAAGCCCCACTGTCATTCAGGTGCAGCAGATCTTAAAATGTTATTCTGAGCTCTGAATTCTCATACAACAAAACAACTGCTAGGCTTGTTAAATCCTGTTATTTTAGCACCTTTTATTTTTTTAGGATCCAGCTTGAGTTTTAAAGACAAAACTCAGCTTGGAAGAGGAAAGGAAACAGCCACTTCTCTAAACTCTTTCGGCTTCACCCTGCCCCACCACAACCCAGTTCTCAGGAAATCACTGCATACTGATTTCTGTATTTAATGGGGAGAGCAGAAGCAGCACCAAAGTCATCAGCACACACACAATGTTTGCTGGAAATATACATTCTCAAAGTGCAAGAATTCCAGAGCAAGAAAGCTCCTGCCTCAGTCCTTTCAGATAAGCTTAATATTTCAGTTGTTACAGTATTTATTTCAGGTGTTCATTATAAGGTTGGAACAGCAGTTTTTGGACAAATCACAACAGTTTCTCACAAAACTTCAATGTAGGGACTTCAGATAGTTTTAAAGTTTTGACCTCCCTGAATAGATGAACACCTGTGTATTGAGTTCAGTTTTCTGCCGTTCTCAGCAGGGGATGTGCATGCACATATAGGAGAAATCTCATATGCATAACCTAGAGGAGATTCCTTTATCTTTATCTTCCTGCCAGGCAGGAGCCTTCACTGCCCCCATTCTCTGCTGGATTTTCCCTGCTGACACACCAGGGCAGACAAAAAGGCTCTCTGGACCATCCAACATGACGAGGTAGCAGATCTGCGGGGTGACCTCCGAAGCCCCGTTCCTGGGGAGGATGCAGCAGAACAAAGTCACCCTTGTTGGCATTCAACATTTCAAGCCCTGTGCAGAGTCTCTCCTTCCCCCTGCAGCACATCCCCCTCACGGGCTCACAAAGGGCTGCATTCATCAGGGACCAGCAAATGGGTATAATCCTTTTGAAAGACAACAGGCCCTGCCAGCTCCTCCAGGCCTTGGTTTAAAATGTTCATCCTTCCTCACCAACTCCAGCCCAGGCCCACCTTGGCTGACTCTCGTGCACATGGAGGGGCCTGAGGACCCACTGGGGTGGTTCTGTGGGGTGGGGAAAGGGCTCCCTGGGTCAGCAAGTCCTGTTGAAGTGGTTACATGTCGTGTGGGAGCTCGCTGACTTGTGTCCCAGGAGCTGTTTGGTTTCATGCCCACACTCCTCCCACGGACAAGCTGCTGCTCAACCTTGCTGCTCTGGATGGGGTGAACCGTCTTTGCTTTTCCAGCCTCAATTTATTCATGGTTGGTTTGCTCTCATTTGTTCCTGTGCCAGCACTGGCCATTAGCTTAAAAAGCTCTCCCCAGTGCTGGATTTAGTCATCTGTGTGTGTATGGGGAACGAGCAGCTCCTTGTGGCTTCCATTCACAGAGGATGAGACCGAAGCTGCTTTGGTTCTCCCGCTGCAGAGAGGAAATGCTCAGTCCTCCCCATTGCTCTGGTCTTCTCCTGGGCTGAATAAACTGAATTTGCCTGCTGAGTCATCCCAGGCCAGGCCAGGAGGGATCAGGGATCGCAGGCCAGGCCAGGAGGCAGCCTGACAGAGCCTTGATGCCAAGGCTGTGGCTGCAGAAGCAAAGACTGAGATGGTTGTGTGGTGCAGTCAAGAAGGGAGAGGAGAGATCCCAGTGGCCTTGAATGGGAGCAAGAATTGATTGTGGTGGTGATGTGAAAGCACCGCAGCATAAAAAAGTGAACGCATGCCTAACCCTTGTCAGTTGACCTTAATATAGAGAGCAGGGCTGCCCTGATATTCCTTGTCTCCCTTCCACATCTCTGTGTCTTCTCCATTCTGTTCCATGTCCCACCTCTCCTGCTGCCAGTCTCCTTTTTCTCTTTCTGAGTCTTTGACAGTCTTATTCTGCACTGTTCTGGGAGGCTGGTCAAAACCTAGCAAGGTGCTTGCTTTCCCACAAGTCATCCCAGCAACCACCAAATGCTCTGAAGGCAGCCTAGAAAGAGCTTGAAACAAGTTTAAGCTGCTAGCTGTGCTTACAGGCTGCAAGGTGTTTTATGTGGGCTTCTGTTTGCCAGTGAATTGCCTCCCACTCTTACCAAGATCCAAAAATCCCCAGGTTGTTCCCTGAAATTTTGGCTTAATCTAAAAGCATATCTGAAATTGTATGACGCCCAATGAAACAGAGGCCATCAGTTCTAGTGCACAAAAATACAATTTGGAGCCCATCTCCTGAAATTCAGACCCCTGACACAACCCTGGCCCTCTCAGACTTGACGAGGTAAATCAGCTCCCAAATTCCTCCTGTTTCCCCATCTTGCATTCCCTTTCACACCTTTCATGAAACCCAGCAAGAGCCAGCCCCCAATGGAGGTGGTTTCTGTGGCAACTCTGGAAGTCACCCTCTGAGTGATCCTAGAGCTGTCCCTCTTCCCACTGGAAGGAGCAGGCCCTTTAAGGAAAGCCATAATGGGCATTCAGAAATTGCCCTATGTTTTGGTAGCTCCTGTTGCTGCCTGGGAGATGCATTTGTCACCTAGCAACAACACAAGGTGATGAGGAAATAACAGCACGTTAATCTAATGGCCATGAGTTACCATCCATCAGGGAACAGCCTCCCAGGTCAACCAATCAGGTGAATAGAATTGAGGAGGAGAGATACCAAACTTTTCATCCATAAGTGGAGGAGGAGTGAGCACAGGTTATCTTCATGTGTGTGTACAAATGTATCTCCTTGTGGGGGGATGACAAAATCCCTGGAGAAATCCCTCAGGCTGGAGCTAGCCCTCGGACACAGAGCTATCCCAAAGATGGGTCTCAGTTTGCAAAACCCAAAGGCAGCAGTGCCCCACCTGGCAGGGAGCAGCAGGAGGGTGCCAGCCCACCAGAATTTCTGTGCAAAACCTCTCTGGGTTTTTGGTGTCCAGTCCTGACTGTCTCAGAGCAAGTCCTGAGGCTCCTTATGACATTCATGTATTCAAGCTGCTCAGCTGATCGTGGACAGGGAGAGTTTTCCTGCTGAAGCAGTGATTCTTTTCAGTATTGGAATCACTCCTGAAGCAAAAGACTGGGCTATTCATGGACCCCCTTTAAGCCAAGTCTGTCTCCTTTTGTCATCATTACAGAGAGTGCAGGACAGGCTTCACAAATTGCCATCATCCCTTGAAATCCCTGTATGGGTCCACCCAGCAGAAAACATCAAAGTTTGTCTCAAGACCAGGAGCTGAGCAGGGATAGAATTCAATTCCCTTTTCTTCTGGAAATAGATCCAGAACAGAGGCCCCATGTTATTTTTCAGTACCAGGAGCTCATTGAGGTACCTGCCCCCTGAAATACTGGGGTTGATCCATTTGGTGGCTCTAAATTGAAAGTACCCTGGATGCTGACATGAGGGAAGTAATTGTGAGAGGAAGAAAACTGAAATTAGTTCAATGATGGATGACCTCATTGAAGCCTGTAAGATTGTAAGAGTCACACAGTTCCCAGCAAGGCTGTGCACATTTTTATACTGCAGGAGCTTTTACTTTAAGAAAACAGCTAAGAAATTGGTTTGGCAATTTACTGTTGAGCAGCACTGAAAAGGATTGGTCTGAAGCAGGACAGCATGTTCAGACCATTTATTTTGTGTAGCACATGCACTTAGCACCATGATGAGAGATGCTTTCTCAGCGAGCATCATTTCAGGGACTCGCCTTTCATTAGTGCTGAGCTGAAAGTAAACATTAGAGAACACCAGGGCTTGGGCTGGCTTTATGCAAAACTTGAACATTAAATAACAAACCCGTGTTGTGCATGTATATCACAGCTGGTTAGACTTCTTGACCTTTCAGCTGAAGCAAAGCCACAGAGGTACATCTCAAGAGCAGCTCGGATTTGTCAATCATTACAGAAGTAATGGCATCCCAACATAATGCTTAACTCTGGAGTGACAGCTAAACATATTCATGGCAACACCTTTTGTGTTAAAATCTGGAAGAACCACAGTTAATGGTGCATTTCAGCCACGGGCTGTAAACTTCAGTGACAACCTATTACTGACTGCTGAACAAATTGGGATTGTCCCTTCCAAGGGGATCAGAGCTATGGTGCAAACCATCTTCTACCCCTGTTTAACCACATCACCTGGGATCGCTCTGTAGGAATTGAATGTGCAGTGAAATTTTGTGTCCCTTGTAAGAAGCATTGGGGATGTATGGGGTTTTTTAAGCTGCATTTTCCTGGCAAACCCTGACAGCTGCATAACAGCAGTGCTGGTACTTGTGGAGGGTGTCTCAGGATGGGAAGGGTGTCCTTCATCCTTGGTGCAGGTTTGAGGTGGTAGGCACAGTGCACAGGACATGGTTAGAGCTAACTCTGTAATGCCAGTATTCCATCTGAAGGCAGCATGCCATGAGAGTGTGGCCCCACTGCACAGACACCAGTGACTCTGTTTGTAGCAGGTCCTGTTAAATGCAGCCATGGGTTAATATGGAACTAAGTCTCAGCAGCAGGAATTTGTGAACAGCTCGGAAAATACCGAAACAACTGCAAGGTGCTGACCTTAAACCAGTGTTCCTTTAACTTTTGGTAGCTGTTTGTGTCCCTGCAAACCCAAATTTGCTCCCTGGCTAGCGGTAATTTCTGAGGCACAGGAAGCCATTGGGTAACGTGTTCTCTGGCTGCAGGCACCATGTGCAGAGAAGTTTTAAAAGCCCCAAATCACAAAGGGTAAAACACTGCTGCAAACAAAGCTCTGCCAATGTTTCTCACATTAATGATGCGGAGACCGGGAGCTTTGTGTTTAACTTCATGGATCACAGCAGGAACTGCAGTTCTGTGTTTAACCTTCTTCCAGGTAACCAAACCCTTCACTGGGACCAGGCTGATTTTAGGGACTTTGTCAGGGAGAGGGGAAGGTTCCAACTTTTATAGAATTTAGTAATCGGCTTTCTTTTTTTATTATTATTTTGTGAAGGATTTTTTTGAGGACCTAATGAATTTGGGGAAGATTTAATGCTCGCAAAAATACCAATTAATGCAGAGAAAAAACCACTGCCTTTGTCCTTTATTCTGTCTGTGGCTATTGAGATGGAAGAGCTTGGGGCTTCAGCAGCACGGGTGGGTGTTTGGCTGCTGTGACAGATTCCTGCCTCAGAGCAGATGCACTTTGCTGCAGTTTAACCACGCTGAGGTGGCTCTGCTGAGCTGGTTTGAAGGATGATAAAAGAGAGGCCAGAGGTTGTCATTCAGCCATGAAGAATACTCAGGATACATGTAATCACAGCAATCAGCTATCTGCTTTTGACTTGTTATTTAATAATCAGTTGAAATGCAAAAAAACCCAAAAGAATTAAAATATTATGCATCAGGGTTCATGTGTGACATGGCGAATTAGCTCAGTTTTAAAAGGACACGTCTGGAAGAGTTGAAGCTTCTGTCTTTTTCTCTTTTCCTCATTTGGATTTCAGCCACTCATGAAATTTCACAGATAATGCTTTATATGAAAGACTTACTATACCCAAAAACCTCTGGTGAAACTAGGGACTGAAAGGCAGTGTGTGCACAGGATCAGACACATTATAGAGATCTGAGGGGGGATTTCTTACTGTTTACAGTGGCTTGAGCTTGCATAACAGAAAGAACCTGTTAATTAGAGATTTTAAAAGAGATTTTTCAGTTATGCATATTTGATACAAATTTCTAGTTTAGAACAGAGCCTTCCAGTTTGACTCAAAGTCAAAAATCTCCAAGTGCTTTGGATATATGCAGAGGGAAATCCAAAGTAATTATTTACAAATTACATTCTAATAGGTTTTTTTTCTCAAAGAAAGAAATCTAAATTCCTCTATCTTGCTCCTTCTGCTTTCCAATTTATCACAACTCTACATCCGATCTGAATTTTTTTGTAGCAACGTTGGGCAACTGTAATAACACACCTAACACCAGTCAGCCAAAAGAATCTATTGAATTGGATTCAATTATACTGATGAACTGCTCTGGTTACTTTTTGCACAGATAATATGAAACTGAGGCTAAGATCAACAAGGCTTGCAAAAATAAACTGGCTTAAGCTGAGAATAGAAAATATACCTGAAAAACAAGTTTCAGGTTCACATATTTGCAATACCTGAAACCTGGCTCTGGGAATGATGCACCACTACTATCTGAAAACAGGAAAATGCTGGGTAGAGCACACTTCTGGTCAAAACAGCTCCAATTTACTGCTGCATTCACAATTAGCTCCAAAAAAAAAAAAAAAAAAAAAAAAGAGCTACAGAACAAGAATTTGGTTATGGGCATTTTCAGCAGGTATTTCTGAAAAGCAAAGCCCAGTGCAGCAAGCAGGTCTCAGACTCCAGCTGGTGTTTCCCTGCTCTTGCCTTTCCCTCTTCCACATCAAAAGGAATGCTTTCTCCTTGGCCTAGCTTTCATCTGCAAACTATTGAATTTATTGAGCTCTTGGTGAGGTTCTCTGCTGGTTTCGATTTGGGCTGGCTCAAAGCAGAGCCCCACAGAGGCAGATCCCTAAGGAGAGATCTGGTTTCAACCCTGCAGGATCAGCACTCCTTTTGCTCTTCCTCTCCAATTTTCCACTCTAAGAACACTAATTATACTGGTAAATTGTAAAAAACAAAACATACCTGCCCTGTCTGATTTACATGTGTGTTTTCAGTCAGCAGACTCCGGGTCGGACTGTGAGCTTGGCGAGAGGTGAGTGTGGCTTCATTCTCTCACCCAGGGCTGCCCCGACCCCAGGCTTTCTCAGGGGTGCTCTGCTCCTGCCTGGCACACCAGCACAGCAGAGGAATGAGGACTTCCAGGAAAAGGATATTTAGGGTTGGTTGTTTTTCCAAAAGAGGAAATAGAGGCTGGCGACCCTTTGGGTTTTCAGCAAAAACGCTGCTGGTGGGTGCTGGTGTTGAAAGGCAAACAAGTGGCATTCTGCTTCTTGCATCATCTGCATTGCTCCCATCCACATAGAGAAATTTTTAATGGGCTCCCTTCATGGAAGAAAACTTCTCAGTCTTCTACTTATTGATGGTGCTTGTCTTTGTGTTGGTAGATGTGCTGGGGTGGGTACAGCAGCCCCCTCATGCTGGACTGGGAGTCCTTTTTATTCTTCCCTTTTTAGGTGCATTGGACAGAGCAATGAAAACTTTAGCAGCTGGTATGTGTGGTAAGTCTCAGATCTGCTTTAAGGGGAAAAGCTGGCAAATAATATTCTTTGATGGATATATGGAGAGAAAGGCATTAAGAGAGACTGATAGCTAGAGAGCATTGCTCCTGGGCTGTCCCTGTGTTCTGTCTTTACAAACTAATGGAAATCATTTATCCATATCCTCCTCACTGTACGCTGACAACTGAGCTGGGAAAAAATGATGGATTGTGTCAGGGAGAAAAGTTTGAATTTCCAGCCAGCACTGGCTGCTGAGCACTCAGGAGTGAGACATTGGTTTCGGGGGACTTTGATCATGTCCAGCGTGCTGGTGGGGAAGCCGCAACATTTAAGGGCTATTTGCAGAAGATGTTAATGAATATGTTAATTTGAAGACATGCAGCCATCTGTCGGTGCTGCCCGCAGATGGTGACAGTTCTGTTCCTCCCTTGCTGCCTCTGCCTCAGGTTCCTGGTGTTGTTTTTCCTGGCCCTGCTCCTGTCCTGCGGGATCTGCTGCTGCCTGCAGTGCTGGCTGAAGCGCCGGAGCTGCCTGCCCCGACGCACCGTGGCTGTCTTTGCCCTCAGCAGCTCGGATGCCTTTTGTGGTTAGTCCTGTCCCTGCTGCAAGGTCCTGCTGGCCCTGGTGGCCTTCCTGTGGCCCATCCATAACCCAGTAAAAAGCAGTCAGGCCTGGGAGCTGGGATGCAGCCTGGGGCTGTATTGCTGGTGAACGGTGGGGTGCCCAGCTCTGGCATCTTGGGGACATGTCCCCCCATGCACTGGGGGGCTGAAGCCACATCCACTTTTCACTGAGCCATACCTTGGTCCCTGTGTGTCCATGTGTCCCAAAGGTGCCTAGCTGGGGCTTGGCCAGGCAAACACTGGAGGTGTGTGGGACTTTCTCCTCGGTGCCAGGCCACTCAGTGGCCCAAGACATTGGGGCAGCCACAGCCCCTGGGGTCAGGCAGCCCTTTCCAGCGTGTGTCCTTCATTTCTCACTCAGGCAAAACTGTACTGGTCTAACTCGAGCCACCCCAGTACAACTCAACTGGCTAACACACCCTGGTCTGTCAGATTGTCCTGGTGGGTGCTGTCCTTTGTGGCAGCCACCCTCAGCATTCCCCCAGGAGCACCCAGATTTTGAGGACTGGGCTATAATGACTGTGTAGCAACCAGAACTGATCTGGAGTATGGCCAGCAGCATCAGCAGGCTGAGCCAGACAACATCCCTCCAAGAAAAATAAAACTAATCCTGTCATTAGGCTAAGCCCTTCCTAGAGGACATATTACTGCTTTCTGGGTGGTCAGAGACAGTGTCTCCACAGGGAGGACCCGCCCAAACCCACCCAAATTCCTCTGTCCCAACTTCTTGTATCTGGAGTTTGTGGTGAAAGACTTTGTGATGCCATCCTTCAAAAATTACATCCGTGCCTTTCTTGTTTCCAAGTGGTTTGGCAGCTCCTCCTGGGCTCATCCCTCTCACTCCCACACTTGCCCTTCACGCCTGTCTGCTGTACAGTGGTGACTTTGCTTTTTCCCCAGCTACTGAAGCACCTCCGTGCCCATTCTCTGGATCCCTGAGCTCCTGCAGGACTGCAGAGATTTCCTCTCCTCCTGCCCCATGCTTCAGCCTCAGGGGAGCTGAATTGCCTCCATCTTATGAGGATGTTATGAAGGAAAACAAGCTCTAGACACCACATGTTGGCTTTCAGTGATCCTACTTGGTTCATCAGAGATCTTCCATCGTGCCAAAGGAGTGTGAGATCAAATCAGCCTTTTCCACAGGTCGGCTGAGAGTCTCAAAAGCAGCACAAATTTCATCTGAACCTGAAAGACGAGACTAAATGCAACAGAATAAATGCCAAAAGTATGTGTTGAATCTGTCACAGGAGTTCAGCTTGACATTTTGATATCTCTGGATTTCAAGAAGCTTCCTCAAAGGCCTTGTCTGCATTTGGGGTTTCTGGCTCAGCCTCTAGATTTATCTCTAAGGCTGCTTGAGCTGGTGCAGCCCCATGTATTTTAGGACCAAATGTTGATAAATTACTTGGTAGTTACTTCTCAAGCTTGGGCTGCCTCCTTCACTCGGCACTGTGCCAAGAAACACCCTCTGGCAAAGTCATGTTGTTCTAATACATTGCAATGCAATCATGCCACTCTGTGATGAAGGATCGTTTGCCACATTTAAAATATTTAGCACAGCATATCAGATTTGTCTAGTGCAAAAGGCAGCAAATTTATGGCCAGGGAAGAGAAAACAAGAGACAGGGATTATGTAGGAGTAGCAGTGGTAGGAGCTGGTTACAGTGCCTTAAAAAAAAGTGAGTTTGCTCATTTGAGCTGTTCTTAATTTCATGATGACTGTCCTGAGCTACTCTTGCCCTAGCATTGCAGACCAGAAGGCTTTGAATGGCCCAAGACCCATGTGGAAGTTCCCCACAGACATGAATTAGGGGCTTAGGTACTTAGTACTTAGCTATAGAAATCTATTAGGATAAAGAATGCCATTTGCTTTGAGGTGATCACTGCAGACAGGATGGAAAAATACTTTAAGAAGCCACCCAGACTGCCTTGTGCCCAAGCAGGATCATCTCAACCAAAGTCATTCCTTGGAGGTATTAGCCTAACTAGTTCTCAAATTATTGAAGACAGATGCTGAATTTTCCCCTTAGCTGGATTCCAGATGAAAGCAAGGATTCCCCTTTGTTTGTCGTGGGCAGGGCAGGTCACTGAAGGCTGAATTCAGCCTGCCTGACCTCTCTGCCTCTGCTCTCTCAGAGGCAAGGGCTGGGGGTGCAGTGAGATCTCTCCTGCTGCAGAAGGGAATGTCAGCCCTGGTCCTGTGCTCCCATGGAGCCATGAGCCCAGTCTGGGCAGCTGGGCCCACCTGGGATTAGAATCCCAAAAGATTAATGGGAGCCCACAGCCTGCCTCATGGAGCACCTCCCCACCTGCAGAGTGAGGGTAGCACCAGCTCCTGTGCTCAGGAAGGAAACTGGGAAGATAAATGCACTAAAGGTTATCATATTCTCATAATGATTCCATGTAAGTACATTTGTGAGATAAAGAATTGCAACTTTTTTTAAGAAAAAATTATTTGCCAAAACCACTGCAAATTATCTCCCTAAAATCTTATTTTAGAAGCAGCTTTAATGTTTGACACTTGTGTAAAAGGAAATAAATGTCACTTGTAGCCAAATGAATGTTTGTGCCAGCAGGCTAAAATATTACTGGGTTTATTAATAAGGAAAATTAGCAAGTACAGACTCAGCCAGGAGAGAAATCAAGCAACTTCTGAGTGTCCTTTTGCTGGCTAAACTTACTAAGAATTGCAGGTAATCAGCACCTCTCAGGATCAGATCTTTCATGTACATAACTGCTTCCACCACTCAACCCCTTCAATTTATGCCCTGAAGCATGAGATTTGATTATGTTTGTCACTGCAGCTTGCATAGCCTGTTAGTGGGCATTAAATCAGCTGTCACTTGATTCCCACCTACACACTGTTAGCTTCAGTGACCCCTTCATGGCAGAGAACTCCACAGGTTGTCTGCATTATGTGCTGCATAAAACATTACTGCCTCCTGCTTATTAATGGCTTGGCTCTAAATAAATTGCTGCCTTTAATTTCACTGAATGTCACCTTCTAATCAGATGGCTGGAGAGGCTAACAAGCAAGGACTGCTCAGGTTTCAATGCCTCCAATCCCTCTGCATCCCTCTTTCTCCAGGACCAGTGATTCCCGGGGTGGTAAATCCTTCCCCAGCCACCCAACAGAGGGCAAGCAAGACTTTCAGCCCACAAAACACTGAGGGAAGGGGTTTGTTCCCCTGCTGCTTGTGTGCATTCAACTGTGTTCAGTTTCATGTTTGAGGTGCTTTAATTATGCACAAAAGGAATCAAATTTTTCCATCAGAATTGCAACAAGTGGCTCACAGTAAAGTAAGCCAGTGGCTGTCCCAAAATCAGGCTCCATCTGGACTCACCAGCACCTGTGTGCTGTGGTACCTGTGCAGCACCACAGGAGCTTCCAAAAACAGCTGAAAGCCAGGAGGAATCTGCAAAAAAGAGCTCATGTAGAGCTGCTGTGGGGAGGACATAAACTAATATTGCTGCTGGCTTGGGGTAAGGAAGGGAAGTACCCTGAGAAGGGGCTCAGGGCCCTGGTCCTTGACTTCCTGATCACTGGAATGGAGAAGAGAATGGGTTCCTTTCTTCTATAAAAGCATTTTGGGTGGCCCCACCAACCTCTTATTATCTATGGAAGCTGCTTGTCCCAGCTTGCCACCTGTGTTCTCCAGCAGAACAGACAAGGTTTCTCCAGACCTGTGTTCCCATTCTTACACAAGCAGAGATTTTGCTGGGTAATTGATATTTTTATAAGTACTCAGCTCTTAATGAGGGCAGTTAAAGCAGTTGGCTGATGTTTCCAGAACTGCAAAGAGAGGAGAACCATTTCCTTATAATTCATCACCTTAGGAATAGGGTTCACCTTGGAAAAGCACTTGTCCTGCTGTGACTCTCTGGCTGCCACTCATCCTCTGGCTTACACTTCCTGCTGACTTTGAGAAGAAATGACAAACAGCTCTAGAAAAAAGCAGCAAACACTACAAACACTAGAAGGCAGATGTGTTTCTGGGGGAACTTGTCACCAGCAAGACTTGTGGGGGGACGTGGGAGTGGTGCAGAGGAGCCAATTGCTTGGTGACCAAGCAAAGGACAGAGGGAACGTGGTGGGCACACGGCTGGACTTTCACATCTGCAGATTAAGAGCTGAATAATAAAGATGTAAAGTGGCTCTCAGGCAAAATAGAGCAAAACCAGAGGTAGCTGAGTCATAACAGGGCATCAGTTTGGAATGCCAGGAGGGTTGGACATGAAAGATGGGGAAATAATTTATATGCTCATTAATTTTTTTAATTGTCATCCAAAATTCTGCATTATGGGCTGTAGACCTCTGTGCAGGGAGGGTGAGGACAGGGTTGGGGACAGATGCCCGCTCTCTTTGGGTCACTAGATGGCACAATTCCGGCTCTTTTCTTCCTTGCTCAAAGGCGTTTTACAGCAGGAACCCAGCAGCTACAGGGAGAAAATAGTTCTCGCTGCCGTACCGGCGATTGGACAGAGTATTTCAGTCATTAATCACTTGCTCACAATATTTAACAGATGCAGAAGAGCAAACTGTGGGAGTCCAGCCCCAGCTGAGAGAGAAAACCTTGCATTCTTGGTGGAATTTTACTTTTCTCTCCTGGAAAGTTTAGGAAATGACTCTAAGTAGATGCGTCTAGGGTGAGACAAAGTCTTCAGCTGCTGCAGGTGTGCACTGGGGTCTGAGCTTTGTGGCTGCCAGCAAAGGTCCAGGCAGCCTCCAAAATCAATCCCCATGCCCAAGGGCCGCTCCCATTTGTGCTGCTGCCTTTTGTGTGTCCTTGCAGAACAGCAGTGATCCCCTCCACAGGAGCCAAAGCAGGTCCTGAGCAAAACAAAACACCTGCTGAGCAAGACCTGGATGCGGGTTAGGGAGTCACAACACTCAAAGGCAATTGTGTTTACTGTATCCCACTGATGTTAGTTACAGCGTGTAAGAAAAACACAGTTCTGCACTGCTGTTCCTGTCTCCTGGAAATAATTGTTCAGATCCCCTGAATTCACACCAAAATCACATGGCAATGTCTGTGAAAAGGCAGGAAATCCATATCCTGGGAAACACTGATGCAGCTGCAGTAGGAGATAGCCTGGTTCACAAGGTCACAGTAAGAGTGAGCACTAATTACAGCTGGAGATGTTAAAAGCCCTCATGAGCAAGGCTGATCCGGGCAGGGAGAGGACAAGATGCTGCAGGCAGAAAAGGACAGCCATTGTAGGTGCCATTTTTTTATCTCCCTCACTTGCCTGTATTAAAATGGGAAATCAATAGTTATCTGTAAGGCATGGATTCAACTTAGCAAAGAACTTACCTAAACACTTCACTGTTTTCCATAACCTGCAACCAGCCCTGGCAGAGTGCACAGAGATGCCAGGGGAGAGCACAACGGGGAGCCCCAGTCCAAGGAAGCACCCTGGGGCAGGCACACAGGCAGGAAAGGTGCCACTCCCTGCTCCCAGCTAAACCCCTGACTCTCCCTGTGCCCTGGGAAATGAAGACAGAGGTGCCCAAACGTTGTTGTTCTATTTCTCTAAAGTCCCATAATGGCATTATCAGACTTCTAAAGGCCATACCTCTTTGGTTTATTCTCATGGCTACAGGTCTTCACTGACTCTCCTTGTTCTCTCTCAGGCCAGGGCTCCTCCAAGGCTCTCCCTGACTGGCTATCCCAGCCCCTTTTATCCCAGTTCTCTTCATTGGTCACAGCTGCAGCCCAATTAAGGACAACCGGGACCTCCCGGGGCAAAGCCTATATACAGATACTCAGGTACAATACATTTCCTCTACTATATTTCCCCCTTTTCTTTTACTTGAAAAGCCTATATACAGATACTCAGGTACAATACATTTCCTCTACTATACCCAAACATAGAAAAATGCCCCTTGTAAGCTAGTGAAAGTATGGAGAAACCTAAAAATCTGTTGGAACTGATGGATTAAATGTTGGGCCTCAGCTCAGCTGCAAATTACAATTGAGCAAAAAGCCTTGGTAAGCCATCAATGGCCATCAGGAGGGGGAAAACAGTCTATTGTCATTGCTAGTGAGCTGCTGCTGAATGGAATGCAGGTAGGTATTAAGGAAATACCTTAATAACTGAGCTCACCTGATACATCTTTAGCCTTAGGGACTGGTTGTGATTTTGAAAGAATAAATAAGTCCTGTTTACTTTCTGGGAGGTTTCTTGCTAATGAATATATAATTAAACTAGAATAGATCTGCATTGTGAGCTGATAATGAGCTAATGAGGACTGAATCCTGCAGTCATGAAACCAGTGTCAGTATTAAATCAAACAGGGATTAACAATTAAATATTAACAGCTGATCAAAACATCAGCTAGACTGTCAGCAGAATTTGAATAATGAAGCAATGCAGTACTGGACTGGTTACAAAACATTAACCTAGCAAAACTAAGAGCTGCTGTGACCTTTTCCTGGTCCTCTTGTGTAAGAGATGGGTCCTCAAAACCTACCATAGAGTTTGGCTACAATAGAAGTATGATTAAGGAATTAACTCTTATTCTATACACATACTGAAGAAGAGAGGCTCACAAGTGTTGATGCAATATTCTTGATATACAAAGAATATTTGTACATTAATTCTTTGTGCGTGAAGTGTATTTGAGGAGGATGAGTTAAGGTGGTATTTGTGCCCTATTTGTGTACTCCAAGGAGGAACACAGAGCTGGAGGGACCAAAGAAACTAATCCTTAATATTCACCCCTGATCAGGGCATAGACATTCAGTGCCCACTGAGCCACTGCTTGGTGTGACCCATGCATTGCAAGTCACAAAACAGCTCCCACCACCTTGAAACAAACTGAAGACCATTTAAGATAAAGGCCAAGAATTCTCCTCTATCACTGAACAGGAGAAATCAGTGATCTGAGATTTGTAATTACACCTGCACTTCTTCTCTGCTAAACAAGAAATAAATCTTCACAGCAAGAAATAACCTTTGTGCTTAGAAAAAGCTATGGAAAACAACAGCAAGAGGCTGGCAGGCATCCCTGAGTGGTTGTGGGGAGGGATAATGTGCTGGCTGCATAGGCTGGGGAGTTTTTGATTCAGAGCTGATGTTTTTGCTGGGTACCTCCTCCCCAGGAGCATCTCTGAGCTGGGTGAGCTGGGCTGAGGCTGCCTGCAGCATCTCTCCTCCCTCGGGGAGGCTGAGGGAGCATTTGCCTCTCTGGGCAGGAGCAGGGATGTGGGCAGTGGAGCAGTCACTGAGCACAGCTCTGCCTCTGGGATGTGTTCACCCTCCATCTCCTTCCCACTGTGTCTCTGAAGGAGCAGGGCAGCAGGGACACAGCCCAGGGAGCAGACCCAAAAATGTTCCCAGAGTTTCCCTGCTGTGGCAGAGAGTGTCAGCAGTGCCAGCTCTCCTGCTCCAAAGACCCACAGAAAACACATTTCTGATGGGGCTGTAAAAAAGTTTAAAAAACAAACAAACAAACAAACAAACAAAACAACTGCCAAGCTCTGAATGCAGTTTCCTGCAATAACAGACAAAAATTCCTGTCACCTCCAGATCTCTTTGTGCATTCTTGGTATGATCTGCGAATTCATCACATCGCTCATAACTCTTGTACTCGTCGTCTCTCAGGACCTTGTAAAAAAGCATCCATCACCCCTCCTACTGTGTTTACATCTGTTTGATAGAGCTCATCTGTTGGCAGTAACCTGCTCCCAGTTTGGCTGACATAAACGTCTGCCAGCCCAACAGCATGAACTCGGCAGGCACGAACGCTGCAGGCACCAGCCTCCCTTGCCTGGGCAGCAGAGCTGCCACCAGGGCTCTGCTGAGATGGTTGTGCTGAGCCCTGTGAGGTGCCAGGGCTCTGCTGAGATGGTTGTGCTGAGCCCTGTGAGGTGCCAGGGCTCTGCTGAGATGGTTGTGCTGAGCCCTGTGAGGTGCCTGGGCTCTGCTGAGATGGTTGTGCTGAGCCCTGTGAGGTGCCAGGGCTCTGCTGAGATGCTTGTGCTGTGCCCTGAGCCCTGTGGAGGTGCCTGGGCTCTGCTGAGATGGTTGTGCTGAGCCCTGTGAGGTGCCAGGGCTCTGCTGAGATGGTTGTGCCATGCCCTGAGCCCTGTGAGGTGCCAGGGCTCTGCTGAGATGGTTGTGCCGTGCCCTGAGCCCCGTGGAGGTGCCTGGCCCTGCAGCAGGGCCATATGGAGCTGCTGTTGTCCTGTCTGTTCCGGGCCCTGGGTGCTTCTCAGCTTGGAGCCATGTCAGGGCTCGGTTATGTTTTGGCCTTGCTGGTCAGCTCTGTGCTGCAGCACAAGGTGCTGCTTCCAGAGGAACCCATCAGAGGACTCAGCCCTACATCTTCCATCACAGGAGTTATCAGAAGTGCTGCTTGGGATGCAGCTCACTCCAGCCTCAGCCAGCCCATCTCCCTCTGGCCCTCATAACATAAAGTTTCATTCATACTCTCTGGGAGAAGGAAATCCAGCCTCCCCATCAAGCAGTCCACAGAGGAAGCCTCCCTCTGGTAGTGCTTCAGCACCCACAGCTGTGCACACCCAGCTGAGACTCCAGCTTTGTTTTTCCACTGCTCCTAAGCAGATAAATCTCTGTGCTGGGAGATTTTTCTCAACCCTCAGTGGCTGTGACATGGTGTGGTGCCCATGGTCAGAAAGGACTGGATTTGGACAGTTCCTACCAACCCTAAGAAAACTCTGTCTCAGCTTCTCTCTCTATTAAAGGCATGAAAAAATATTCACATCCATCCTTAGGGAACATGTTAAACCACACAGGAGTCTTCCTCCACCACCCTAGTGAAGACCTGGCTGATGCCCTAACCTCATCCAGCCTATGGCAGCCTGGATTGCAGCCAGGGACAGCAGCCCTGAACTAGGTTTAAATACCTTTTGATGGAAAGGGACAATTATAATTTATCCTAGCTTCTAGTTAATGTAGATATATTGTAATGCACAAGTTCAGATTTTGGATCTTCACTCACTTTGTCCAAGAAATGTTTTTATTAAGCAGAATGAAGCTGGCAATTTCCAGATTTCACTGAGTTTTTAGTAGTGTACCTTTTAACACTGACTAAGAAGGACTGCATTTTTCAGGCAAGAATGCACCTGCATTTACAATCATTTCTCAGTGCAGACTCATGGACCAAAGAGAGGGTCAGACATTTAACACAGCTCTTATCTCTTGAAAAGCTCCCCAAGAGGGGCAGACCCCCCTACTGAGGGCACAGGGTCCAGATGTTGGTCAGGCAGTCAGTCCCTCCTTTTGCCAGGATTTTCTCCTTTGTACACTCTGTTGACACATTGCCAGATGTGGAACAGATCCATCTTGCAGTTTGGGGGTCTTCGTGCAGAACCCTGTGCTCTGATTCAGGAATGGCTGGTTTATCTCACTTCCACCAGTAGTGTTGAGACAAATGCTGAAAAAAGTTTGTGTTGGTTATTTCAGTCTGTGCTTATACAAGTGGTCTCAGCACTCAAATCAAGAGGATTTCAGAAAGCGGGATCTTCTCAGAGTTTACTTTCTTGAAGGAAAGGTATTTTGAAGCTCTTGTAATGCAAACATTGTGGCATACAGTAGACCCTTGAAATTCAACTGCATCTTTATCACAACCACAAGAGCTTGAGTCTCTGTGCAATCCACTACAAATTGAAGCAGAGCTCTTTCTGGAGCACTTACCTCCTCCTCACACCCTTGTGTCCACTGCATACATTTTGGAGGTGGCTGTCTGTGAGGATGGCAAATGCACGTTTGTTACGACAGTGGCAGCTGAGGAATAGCCTTTCCTCAAGGAGTAGGAAGAATGGAATCTTCCAGAACTGGTCTCTGTGAGGCACAGGGAGAGAAATAGGAACTGCTGATGAGTGCTTGGTGACTTTCAGCTGCAAAGTTTCATTATTCAGGGAAAGCAGCACTCCAAGATGTGACATAGTAACAACCCACTTTATGGCATCCTTACACCTCAGCTCCCACATGAAGACCTTGATGTGCTTTCTAGAGCTGCCTAAGACTATTCCCCTTTTACAGCTGAAAATATCGCCACTGGAGATGAGCCACCATGCCAAAGGACTTTCCCCACCCTGTAGCACACCCTGAGCAATGGCTCTGTCCCTGAGCTGTGCCTCAGCCGTGCTTCCTCACCTCTGAAGAGATACATGCAGCACGTGAGCAGGGACCCAGACAAGAAGCAGCCAAGTGACCCCGCCATGCCAAGCCAGCAGGACCAACCAAACTTGTACTGGATGCCCAGGAAGATGTTGTGGAAGAGCAGAGAGGAGCGCTCCACGTAGACATCCACGGCGTACCACACAGAGCCCGTGATGCCAGGGAGACCTGCAGAGAGGGGCCACACTCACAACCATGGGGGAATCAGATCTAAAGCTGTAGCTGCAGGGTGGGAAGACCTTGCTGGGACAGCAGGTTTTGGCCCCTGTCCATGCTCTGTCCTCGGTGGATTCACCCTGGCTCCTGCTGATATCCTGTGCTGCCAGGCAGAGGCTGCACCTCTTGGCTTGGCACTCACACACACTTCCAACACACTGGCAGCACTCAGGTTTCTGCAGCAAAAGACAGGGAGCTCCTCCCATCTCAGCTGCTTGTAAAGTTGTCTCTCCAGAATTCAATTTTCTGATCTGTTTTGATTTTCAAAAGTTTGATGATGCTTTTTAGACAAACTTTGAGAAATGAATTGGAAGATGCTTAAAAGCGCCTCTCGATGTGTTTTACATGTGCTCCCAGTGGCTGGGGTGAGTTATTAAATCTGCTTAGACTGAAGAAGAAGTAGCTGCTTGATATGGCATAAAGTCAAATTATATTATTTGGTACCTAGTTATTTTTGTGTTTAAAATTCTCCCACTGGCTGTAACAGCAAAGCACCTCAGCCAGTTGGGTATTTATCACCTAGAAGGGACAGACATATTATTATCCTTTTATTAGAGATCAGCTGCAGAGATTTTGGGCTAAGTGACTTGCCCAAGGTCACACAATCTGTGGCAGAGCCAGGAACCAAACCAGGATGCCAGGATTTTCTAGTCTTTCAGCAATTGGTTTAGAGACCTACAGCAAGGTCTCTTTACTGTATCAACAACCTCAACTGCTCCACAGTCAAACAGCAATAAATGGCAGTCAACTCAAAGCAAACTCACCTGGTCAAAACATGAACTGAAAGCAGATAAACTCAACTACATGGTGTTTGAGGCAGGTGGTGAACAGAAGCAGCTGCATTACACAAATAAATCAAATAATTTCTATATTTAATCAAATTTCCCCCTACAGAAAATCACCAGCCAAAATAAAAGAAGGCTTTTAATGCTTCCCCACTTTGCTAAAGGGTGTCCTACAGAATGGGAACACAGTGGGGAAATACCTGCAAGGAGCAACATAACCCCAGCCACCAGGCAGATGCGCAGCTTGATGAGCGGCTCATCAGGAAGGAATTTCACACAGTCCAGTCCCAGGACCAGGAAGAGAAATCCAAATCCTGACAGGAGGTCTGCTGTTATCATCATGGCTCGGGTCAGCACCAGTTTTACTGCAGAACAAAAGCAGATCATTTTAGTGCATGAGGAATGGAAATGTGGGCAGGTAAAGGGGTCAGATCCCACAGGAACATTTTTTTTCTGGTGTTCAGCTTTTTTCATCTTCCCCTGGGAGTAATACCTGACTGAGAAAAGGAACATGCCTCTAATTATCTGTCACTGAGTGGAACAGATACTCTCAGTCTACACTCAAGTGTCCCCACCACCACTTCCAGAAACATCTCTGACTCTCACATACCAGAATGCTCGGCGTAGATGGAGTCGTACTCATCACAAGTTTGGATCCCATCAAAAACGTTTGTGACACATTCCCACCACAGGCCACGGCATTTTGTACTCACCTGTGGATTGAGAAGACAAAAAAGACCACAGGTTAAAATATCCACCAATGCAGCAGGTGGTTGTCTTAGCCCTTCAACAGAAATCCTGGTCCAGTTACAATGATGGTAAACCAGAGTGTTTAGCTTGAAGAGAAAAAGCAGAATTATGGAGGAAAAGGACAATGTTTTCTATGTCCCTACTAATGTTTTTACATTAGAGCAAAAAAAATTCAGACTAGACATTAAGAAAAAAACACTTGCCTACTAGTAAGGATAAAAATTTTAAGGAAATTTATGGGAGGAGCTGGGGGGTGGCTGACCAGAAAGATCTAAGAGCAGATTTGCTCACTCATTGCCAAACTCTTGCCTAGGCTGAGCTGGGCAGGGCTATGGACCAGACAACCCGAGATCTTGCTGCCTGTGCTCCCCTTCCTTACACCATCCTCCTGACGGCTAAGGAGCAGCTCAGAGAGTGGGAGAGGAGTGCAGAGGAGTCTGGATGTGAGCCCCTCTGCAGACAGCCGGGGAGGGCGGCCCCCAGGTGACTCAGCTGTGAACACTGGCTGGAAAACCAGAGGCAGCCAGTGCTGATCCCGGCCCCGGGGGTGCTGATCCCGGCCCTGGGGCTCCCTCTGTGCTGCCAGCCGTGGGACCACGCGTGCCCAAGCCACAGTCATCACTGAGACATGCGGACTGGGGCAGGCCAGGCAGCAGCATCGTGGTTAATCGCCTGTCCTCCAGCCCTAGATACCATTCCCAGCCCAGCCTTCCATAAATCACTTTAATACGGGAGGCGTTTCCATTACCAATGCAAATATGGCAACAAGCACCTTTAAAATATTCCTGGAATTGCTCATAGGAGGAGCAGAGTTAATGTCGGTGCAGCTTTGGACTCCAGCCCGCCCACTTCTGCCAGCGACACCCACTGCAGTTAATGGAAAGAGAAACTCTTCCAGCAAATGAGCTTCACGCAGGGGAAGGGGACCAGGCTTGCTCGGATGATGCAATAAATTCATTTTTCTTACACCGTGTAAATCACAAAGCAGATAATAACATATCTCGGACACATAATAAAGTCTTATTCAGGATGTACTGAGGTCTGTAGCCAACTGTAATATTTTCTCCACAACACAATGTCTGAGCCAAGCCGTGCACCTCCTCTCTGATACTGCTGTCTGGATCAAAGGGGAGGAAAAATGACTCGCTACTTCAGACTGGCAGAAGAGATACTATTTGTATTTGAATGGAAATAATCTACATGTTTTGTTTCATGAAGATGAGAAGTGCTTAACGTTTCTGAGAATCTCAGGGCATATTTAATGAAAAATATGATGAAAAATGAGAAGCAGTGATGGAAAATCTAATTTCATTGATTCTGTGCTTTTCAAGAAAACAAAGTCTTGTAAAACAATTTGCCATGTTTACATTCAATGTATTTTTATTGTGGCCCTCTTAATGCAGTTGCAGGTCCTCTTCTGTCTGAACTCACCACTGTTCAGGCTGTGCTTGAAATTAGCATATTTTTATTAAATTACATTTTGTTCCACTTGTGTTTATATAATTTCTCTTTCCTCCCAAACCACCATAGGCTTATTTATACTACTCTGCATTCAGCTAATCATGTCACTTACTTCCTCACTTGCTGATATTATTACTGTTTTTTAAATCTTACAAGCAGCATCTACATCTAAATTATTTATAAGGAGACTAACAGGATTCCAGGTTTTGTCACCCTCCAAGCAAAACAGAGGTCTTAAGCACAACAGTTATGGTCTAGCTTGTGAAAGAACCCCCTTCCCAGACTAACAAAAACTTGTTTAATGTTTTTTGTTTCTTGGGATGTTTCAGTTGTCACTACTCCTGCTACAGCCAGCATGGGCAAAGCAGGAGCCAGCCCATCTCCACACAGCCTGTGTGCAGCCAGGGATAATTGTCCCATTGCCTGGTGCAGGAGGGATAGGAACAGGTGTCAGTGTGGGGACCTGTGGCTGCCCTGAGCTGCTGCTGAGCTACTCTGCTTTCTGCTGCCAAGGGCCAACACTTGCTCCCCTCTGCTTTGTTCACGGTTGATCCTTCTGGTTGTTAATCTGCTCCCAAGCCACCTTTGAGCATCTTCCCTTGTGCTGACAGCACAGACCTTCAGGCACACGGGAACTTGGTGCTGTAAAGGGGACAGGGGTCAGGGCATGGGGCATCATATGAGGACATGGATTTCCCCATCCCATGGCTGGACTCTTGCACCATGTTGGTAGCACTAATTCCCCATCACCTCTCTCCCCCTACAGCAGACGTGCTCCAGCTTCCCTGGGCCCAGCTGAGGACTCCCAGAGCAGCCAAAATCACAACCATGCTCCTCATCCCCCTTGGATTACAAAACACGACCTGCTTTCCCTAACACAAGTATGCATGTAAAACATGAACTGCATAATGACTGTAATACATATAATTATATCCTATTCATAATGTATAATTAATATTAAAATAATTCTCATACAGAAAAAAAGGAAAATTACAGAACAAGCGCACGCTTCTCCTTCTGGGGAAAGCGGAGAAGACAAACACGTAAGCGATGTTAGTCACAGTGTTTTACCGCACTCTGAGAAGGTGCCAGCAGACAATGATTACAAGCCCAGCTTGAGTGTAAAACAGGCAGCATTTAACAGCAGTGGCGGTATTTATAATCCACCTGCAACAGGGAGGGACGGTCTACACAATACAGCACTCGTTGAGAAGCAGATTATGGGCTTTTTCCACTACAAACTACTGCAAAAATTGACCCAGCCCTGTCTTGATGCTTCACAGGGAGTCACTAACTTAAATAACTTTCTGTAACCTGTTGTTTCTCAAGGGAGGTGAGGGGCTGTGAAAGCTGAGTCAGGGCCCCTGCAGCCTCTTCTTCCTGGGATGCTCCTCTCCACTGGGACCACAGTGAGGGTTCCATCCTCCCCAGCTGCAGGGGGCCAGGGTCAAAGCCAAGCAACCAGCCACCACCCAGCAGCTGTTGAAGGATGGAGTTCCCTTCTTCTGGAGCCAAAGTTGCCTAACTTACCCTTTTTCCAGCTAAAAACGGGAGTCACTGCGGACTCTAGCCTTTCTGGCCGTGGACATTCCCTATTTAGAGAGGCAGTGAGTCATTAGGGTCATTAAGATCAGTGGTCAGGTATTAAGGCTGGGGGCGTTTTGCTCCATTATTTAGTATTCACACTCAGAGCCGGAATGTGAGAATAGTGGTTGCTAATGACCAAACTGGGTGTTAATGGAGCACTTCGGACAGCCCATCGCAGGTGCCTTTGCCCAGGAAGACAAGGTTACACAGCCTCAGGGTAACAGACCAGCTCTTTACTGGACTCACTCAGGAGCTGGGCTTCTCTCATCTGGTTTTCCCCACAACTGGACTCCTTTGGCTCTTCTGAGTATACTGATACCTTCATCTGAGTACTTTCTGAAAGGAATCTGAAATATCTCCCAAATGAAGAGTCACATCCTACCCAGCATCACTGGGTGCACTCTATTTGTCCTGAAAAGAGGCTCACTGAGCAGACATGCTGACCATCAGGAACTGCACTGCATTGGATCATCATCTATATCCACCTTTTAGGGTTTGATAGTCGGAGTGTCAGGATTTCTTGTAGCATAGAGGAAAAAAAAGTTTTTCTTGTAATTAGTTTTATCCTTCTTTCCTTGGATAATTCACCCCTCCACGTGCTGCAGCTAAATGCTGCATTGCAACCACTGAGTGCAGAGGAGCTCATGGTTTCATATGCTGGATAGCAGATAGAAAGTTTCCTCCTGATAAATGCAGCCAAACTTTCTGTCCTGGAAGGTGTTTCATCTTCGCTGCCTAAACGATCCAGTTTGCCAGAGAGCAGATTCCTACACTGTGGACCTGCAGCTTAAATGTACAGAAATGAATGGCTGCGCTGGGAAGAAAATTACAAATTCACAGTACTAAGTGCTGGAGAAACAGTGGTAATTTTGGACCTGGAGTCTTTGGGGCACACCTTGCCTGTAAGCAGCAATCTGCTCCCTTGTTTGCAATTACCTTTTGCCAATAGCTTTCTCTAATAAGAGAGTGCTACTGTTCACATGAGTTCCAGGAGATCTTGAGTCCCCATGCTCCCCTTAAATTTCTGGTAGCCCTGTAGTTCAATGGCTGGTCAGAAAAAGACTTGAAGAGCACAGTTGTACATGCTGGATGTCTCCACCAAGAAGTCTGAACTACAGAATTAGAAATATCTTCAAAATATCCATGCAGGCTGGAGGTACAGAATAACTCTTCTCAAGTTCATGCACATGTAAAACTAGAGCCTGTAGATCTTTCCTGAACTTACTAAATAAGAGCACAGTCTGGATAAAGAAGTCTGGCAAAGAGAATTTCACAAAATACCACTTTTCTCCTGCTCTTGCCACAGTAATTATTTTCATTCTCATCCACTTTCATCCAGCACAACAGGGAGAAAGAACATGAGAGTGGAGCGGAGCAATGACACCAGGAACAAACTCTCTAGCACACATTGGTTTTGGTGATCAGGCTCTCCTCACCCCAGTCTTACCTCCAGGGAGTCATCAGCATTCACCATCCAGCAGTCTGTCCAGGTAGATATTATCAAAAACGCAGCAGAGAAAAAAGCACAAAAGAAGCCCACATATTGGAGGAAAAACTTCATGCCAGCAGGTGCTCAGCACATCCAGGGAAGTGTGAACAACAGTGCCCAGCCTTGTTCCTAAAGCCAGGGCAGAGACAGAGTGTCAGTGTGCCAGATGCCCAGCAGTGACCATGAAGAGCAGGACCTCCTCTCTTGTGCAGATGCCATCTGGTGTGATGGCTGCAGGGCAGTGCTCACTGCCAGGGGTCAGGAGGAGGGTGAGAGTGCCCACGGGAGCTGCTGCAGCCAATCCACCCTGCCCCGCTGCAGCTCCTGTCATGCCTGACTGAAGAGAAATGGGGCTGTGCAGAAGGGACAGGTAACTGCAGGTAACTGCAGCCCTGGGCTGCCAGGGGAGGCAGCTATCATGGCAGGCTTTGTAAAAATAGGCATTAGAAAAAAGAATCAAAACTTGTTCTCCAGGACAGAAGTCTTGAGCCTTGCTGAGGGACACAGAGAGGAGCTCTCATGTGCACACACACATTTATTCCTGTTCAATGGTTTATGCTTTATTAGGGAGCAATTATTAAGTGTCTTGGTGTAGATCCCAGGCCCCCTGGTTGTTACCCTGTTGGTCTCTGGTGCAGTGATGATCTAGTTCAATGCAGAAATGTCACCAGGGAGGAAAAGGAAAAGGCAGCAGTCATGGGCCTTCAGAGCCAACATCCACCCCCCTCCCAGAACTCTACATTTTGAATTTAAGTCAAACCTTGATACCTCTCATGCCCTAGGCCTCAATTTGTTCATGGCATGAGTACAATTCCCATGTGGAAATCTTGAAGTTTTTAGACTAGTGCAAGTCTGGAGGATTTCAGTTGGTTGGAATTTCCCTGTTTGCTTACTCTGACTGCAAACTTCTGTTTTCCTGCCAGGCTCTGCAGGTGAGCAGGGGTCACACAGGCTGCCAGGGGCAGAAGGCTGGGGCCTCTGTAAGAGGCTTCTCAATGTCTCCTCTCGTGCAGTGCTGAGAAAGCCATCAGGGCTCCAGAGCACCTTTCAGGAAAACCAAAGGGGAGTGCAACTAGAAATTGCTCCCACGCCAAAGGTACCAAAGCACAGAAACCTTCGCATCCTCAATGATCATTATTTTTGAATATAAAGAGAAGCAGTAACAGGCAGAAGACTTGCCTTGAATGGAGAAATATTCAACACTGGGTAGAGGAGCAGACTCCTGCTCTGCGTTCAGTTTTGCTTCCAGCTGCTTGCCCAAGCTGGCGATGTCTGTCATCTGAGCTGTCACCTCCAGATGGAGCCAAGCGGCACCTTTACAGCACTGCTCAAAGCTTCTGCTTCTCCGGGATTCCCTTTCAAATACCACAGCAATGAGAAGGTTATTCTTACAATAGATAACCCGTATAATTCCAGTCATAACCTCATGAGACAGTTTTGCTGACAGAGATCACAACTTTTACCCTCGATGCCAGGCTCATTCCACTCCTCAGAGGTCACCCTGTGGAATAGGTCCTCAGCACATGCTTAGGGAGGCTTAAGTGGAGAACAAAAGTCCCAGGTCATAAAGCCAGGGTATGCAGGAGGGTCTGCTGCTTCAGTTTTCTGCTTTCTGTTTCTTAATTCCATTTATAGAAGCTGACGAGTGAGGAACTTTTCTTCTTCCATCTTTCCCAGATGCAGGTCTTGATGTGGTTATGTGGATATGATGCTTTCTGCTGAGTTTTCTGGTATCCAAATGTCAGGATTAGTCAAAGAAACCTTCATGATTTTCACTTCATGGCTTTCTTTGACAAAGGTAGCTTTGTGTTTTCAACAGTCCTGACCCACGGGGACATGGCAGTGGCCACACAGGTCCCATAAAGGATCATGACTTTCATTAGCACATATATGTATATAGATTACATTTGTCTGAGACAGGTACTGAAAATACACATCATCTTTCTATATTTGTATTGTTCTAAGTTCATTAACCTCTGTCTGCACCCATTTTTAAAAAGCATCCTAGTCAGTTATTATTAGTGGTAACTCAGAAAAAGTGGTGTGGTGAGATAGAACAGGCCTGAAAAATCTGAGACAGCCTTCCCAATCAGCATTAAGTCCTTAGCAAGTCAAGATCAGAGTTTAACAGCAACAGAGCCTGGATTAAGCAGGAAATGTATTATAGCCATTGCCTTCTCCTTCTGTCCTGTACCAAATCCTAGCCACTTTCAGAGAGGATAAGCCCAGTGGAAAGAAAGGGAACATTTTCTCTTATTTGGTGCATAGTGGAAGTAGTGGAAGTGTCTCAATACAAGCATGACAGAGGTAGAAAGTGGAAATCTCCCATGATAACAGCCAGAGAGGTGTTTCTAAGCTTTTGTGCTGGGCACATCATACTCTGTTCTTCCAGCCCAGCCCATGAACACCCATGGATGTCAGACCAGGAGGCAAACTCCACCAAGGGGGGGAGGCAGAATGTGAGGCACCAGTGTTGCCTGTGTTTCACTCCATCTCCCCCCAGCTGTTATTGCAGTCCTGGTGATGTCTTGTTTATTTTCCACATGCCCAGCAATGTGTTGCTGTCCCAGCTCCTTCCACATCCCTGTGTTCACCTTCCCTGCAGGGCAGGGCAGGTGAGTGACCCTTCCTGGAGCAGGATGCCAGTGCTTCCCTGGCCATGAGTCACTGGGGGCAGGAAGTGGCTCCAGCCATTTGCATCTAGCTTGGGGCTCTGGAGCATCCTGGCCTGGACAGCAAAGCAGGTCAGTATCCTCCAGTTTTCCCTGGTGTAAGGCTGCTCCAGAGTGGCAACACAATGAAGATGGTTCGTGGCTTTTCACCTGGTGGAGAGAACAATCCAATATCTGGTCCTTCTTTAGGTCTGTGTCTTCAAACACACCCATAGAATCTGCTGTAGTTACTAGAAAGAATACAATATTCTTTATTTAGTAGAAAATGGCAAGGTACATGTTTAATACTCTTTATTTAGAACAAGTCAGCATCTTCTTGAAGCAAAGTCTGTAGCTGTTTCTCATCATGGTCTGCTTTCCTAACTTGCATGACAGATGTCCCCTCAGCTTCAGAAAACAGCTCTCCCAAAATAACCTCCTAAGATGCCTTTGTATAGCCCAAAGCCTGGCTGACATGACGCAGGGTAGCTTTCCAGTGAATTTGTAGGCTGTACTACATATGCTAACTGTGCTTTGGCACTAACCAAAGCATTAGGGTATCCTAATATTTGATTGTCAGAGCTTGGCCTTGTCGGGCTCTCACTCTGTGTGGTATCAATGCAGCAAAACTTTGCTAATGTAAGAGTTTTATCACCTTGACTACACTCAGTCCCAGCTCAGGGACAAATGCACCATGGGTCGATTGCTTTTATTACTCATTAACACAAGGTGGTCTGTGCTCTCCCTTAAAGCCAAGCTATTCGTGTTAGAGAAAGAGAAATGACTGCCAGTCTTGGGAAGTGGTTGTCACCAGTCAGTCTACTGACAAAACCATTTTTGCAGCAACACCCCCCTGAGGTTGCAGTCCCATGAGCACAGAAGGGTGGTGTTCTGCCTTTCCTTCCTCAGTGTCTAACACACAGTGTAGCAGAGGGCCTGGAGCAAGAAGGAAGTGGTGATGCTGTGCATTCATGCGTGGAATACAAACCTCTCTGCAAGCACCCTTGACGTGACTTGCACTCAGGGCTTGTCCAGCAGGAAGGGCTCAGGAGTCAGAGGTGATGGAGAGTTTTGGAAGGGGTTTCCCAAAGAGCCCTTCTGCTCCGTGGGCTTGTCTGCCCAACCCTTCCCACTCCTCCCTCCTGGCTGTACCGCCTCCATTTTCCTCCATTTTCCTGCTTCACACACCCCCATCCATGGACTCCAAGTGTGTTCAGCTCCAGAGCAGTGCTCCTGGGATGTGAGATGTGTACACAAATAAATTACAGAGCAGTGTGTAATGTACCCCTTCAGCCATGCTCATACAGCCACAAAACCTTGGGATTTAGCTTAGCTTTAGCTCAGTAACCCCAAGGAAAATAGTAAGACTTCTGAGCAGTCTATGATTTTTCAAGCAGGCAATATATAAGATTAAAGGAAAACAGGAAAGCAAAGGCATGTTCTGGTAGATGAGAGCTTAAAGGATTGGTAAGTAAAAACTGTGTTTGTACCTCTGTGCGTGGTTGTGTGTGTCTGTATATTATACACACAGATATGATGCTTGCACACACTCCTTTAAAACAGCTTTTTTAGTCACTACACAGCAATAAATGCTAAACCAAGCATTTCATTACAGTCTTTTCAGGTTCTCAAAGTACCATCTTCTCCTCAGTACAATAAATTTAGTTTTATGGCTGCCTATGAAATCCCACACCTGAGAAACACATCATCTCAATGATGTGTTACTAACCCCACTTTAGAGCTGGGGAAAACCAGGCCCTGACTAAGTGCCTTCAGATGGAGAGCGAGGAGTCCCGCTCCTCTTTAGCAGCGGGGCAGGACTCCCTGCCTGGGCGTGGTGAGATCCCTATCGGTGAGAACGTGCGTGACCACTCGGCTTTCCGGGGAGCCGCCGGAGAATACGCGCTGCCCTCGCTGCATACCAGCTGCACGCAGGTGTGTTTTGGCAGAGGAGCCGGGTAGTGGATCAGACACACCTTTTCTCGGCATGTCACAAGTTCCAGTGCACAGCCCTCGTCCCCAGGCACCCCGGGGGCTGTTGATGCCCTGCCACGTCCCTGCGGAGTCATCCTCACCCAAGCGTGCCTTTCCCAGCATGAGCCTGAACTTTCCCGTGCGCTGATACCAGGGTGATTAAACGCAAGGGAAGCACAACCTCCGTGCCACTGCTAGCAATCGTGCAGGAAGGGGGAGGGAGAGCAGCGTGGGCATTGAGCACTCTCCAGAGTGCAGAGAAAAGCGCAGGAGAAAGGAGCTGCGGTGGAAGGGCTCTGTGTCGTGTCCCTGCTCCTCAGGGACACCTTAGCGCAGGGGAGGGGCCGTAGGTGAGACTGGTCCTGCAGGGCTCTCCTGGCTGGAATCCAGCCCCCCCCCCCGTGACTCACTTCACAAGAAACATCCGCTTCAGACCGCTGTGCCTTTCGC